GAAGTGACTTTGTAGTTGGGCAATGAGCAGATGCTGGAAAAATTTGGCGGAGCATGATAGAAACAGCCTACAATGCCTCGAACAAGCTGTTAGTAGAAATGTGGCTGTATGATTCTGCTCGTGAGGGCTCAGAAAAAAGTGAGGATCACAGTAGAGAAAACACATAAACAAATGGAAGTACACAGTATGTAACCTTTAAGATAGGTCTTTTTACTCCAGAGAATGCCCTTGACTTCCATCCAAGTTGTTGTGTATATCAATAATTCATTCTTTTATATTGCTGAGTAGTAATCCGTGGTATGAATTACTGCAATTTGTTTAACCATTCACCCGTTGAAGGACATCTGGTTTGTGTCCAGTTTTTGGCTATTACAAATAAAGCTCCCATGAACACACTTGTAGCAGTTTTGTGTGGACATGTTTTCATTTCTTTGGGATACATGCCCAGGAGTGTAATTGATGGGTTGTATAGTAAATGCATATTTAGTTGTGTTAGTTTGTTTTTTTGTTTTGTTTTGTTTTGTTTTAACTGAAAAATTGTCCCAGAGTAGCTGCAATATTTTATGTTCTTACCAAAGGGTATGAGAGATTTAATTTCTGCGTACCGTGGTCAGCATTTGGTGTTATCACTATTTTTAAGTTTAATTATTCTACTAGGTATATAGTGATACTCATGTGGTCTTAATTAGCATTTCCCTAATGGCTAGTGATCTTGAACATCTCTTCATATGGTTATTTGTCATCCATACATCCTTTTCATGTCTGTGGCTCATTTCCTAATGGGATTGTTTGATTTTTTTCCTGTTGAGTTTTGAGACTTCTTTATATATTCTAGATACGAGTCCTTTTTCAGACACATGGTTTGCAAATCTTTTCTCCAAATTGGTAGCACTTTTTTTCATATTTTTAATAGAGTCATTCACAGAGCAATTTTTTTTTATTTTGATGAAGTCTAATTTATTGATTTATTTCTGTACGACTTCTTCAGTGGGTCCTGAAGATTGTTCTTCTGTTGTCTTCCCAAAGTCTTAGAGTTTTACATTTAAATGTATAATCATATTGAGTTCATTTTTGCATATGATGTGAGGTTTAGGTCAATGTTCACTCTTGTTGCTTGTAGATATGCAATTGCTCTAGTGTCATTTGTTAAAGGCTATCCCTCCTCCCTGGAAATGCTTTTGTACCTTTGTCAAACAAAGGTCTGGCCATACTTAGTGAGGATATCTGTGTCTTCTCTTCCATTGATCTGTGCATATATCTATCTGCCTATCTCACACTGTATTGATTACTGAAGCATTAATGTTAATACACTAAACATTAATACTATTGATGCCTCCCAGTTTATTCTGTTTCAAAATTGCGTTAGCTCTTCTAACTCCTTTCTATTTCCATATACATTTTAGTATAATCTTGTCTCTACAAATCTTGCTGGGATTTTGATATTAATTGCCTTAAACTTAGATATCAGGTTAGAAAGAATTGACATTTTTACTATGACATCTACCATTGTATGAGCACAGAATGTCTCTCAATTTACCTATAATTTCTTCGACTTCTTTCAGCAGCATTCTGTAATTTACAGCATATAAATCCTATAAATGTTTTATTAGACTTATACGTCAGCATGTCATTTGTTTTGAGAGACTGTAAATGGTACTGCATTTTTTATTTCATTTTCCACACATTAACTGCTTGTATATAAAAATAAAATTGATTTTTTCACGTTGGCTCTGTATCCTATAACACTGATAAACTACCTTATTAGTTCAAAGAGTATTTTTATAGATTTTTGGGGATTTTCTACATAGATAGTCATGTCATTGGCAAATAAGGAAAGTTATATTTGTATTTGACCCTTTCTGACCTTTTTTTTTTATTCTACATTCTTTATTGAATGTATTGTGGTGACATTGGTTAATAAAATTATACAGGTTTCACATATACAATTCTACAATACATCAACTGTATATTGTATTGTGTGTTTACCACCCCAAGTCAAGCCTCCTTCCATCACCATTTATCACTGGTTTATCCTATTCTACCTCCCTCCAACCCCCTTTCCCTTTAGTAATCATCGTACTGTTTTCTATGAGGTTTCTTCTCTTAATCCCTTCACCTATTTCACAAATCCCAGCATTTTCTTAATTTCTGAGGAACCTCCATACTGTTTTCCACAGTGGCTGTACCAGTTTACATTCCCACCAGCAGGGAATGAGTGTTCTCTTTCCCTGATAGCTAGTGAAGTTAAACATCTTTTCATATATCTGTTAGCCATTTGTATGTTTTCTTGGGAGAAATGTCTGTTCAGATCATCTGCCTACTTTTTAACTGGATTGTATGTTTGTTTGGTGCTGAGTTATATGAGTTATTTATATATTTTGGATATTAACCTCTTGTCAGAGCTGGTGTTTGCAAATATCTTCTCCCATTTGGTTGATTGCCTTTTTGTTTTGTTGGTGGTTTCTTTTGCTACCCAGAAGCTTTTTAGTTTGATAGAGTCCCATTTGTTTATTTTTGCCTTTACTTCTTTTGCTTTTGGGGTCACATTCATAAAATGTTCTCTATGCCCAAGATCCATAAGTTTAGTACCTATGTTTTCTTCTATGTAATTTTTTGTTTCAGAATTTATATTTAGGTCTTTGATTTATTTTGAGTTAATATTTGTATATGGTTTCACTTACATGTGGAATCTAAATAAATAAATAAATAAATAAATGAACAAAACGGAAACAAACTCATAGACACAGAGAACAAAATGATCATAAGGGAGGACTTGTGAGGCTGGGTGGAAAAGGTAAAGGTATTAGGAAGTACATGCCCAGCCGGTGTGGCTCAGTGGTTGGGCATCAACCCATGCACCATGAGGTCGCCGGTTTGATTCCCAGTCAGGGCACATGCCCAGGTTGTGGGCCAAATCCCCAGTGGGGGCATGCAGGAGGCGGCCAATCGATGTTCGTTCTCATCGATATTTCTATCTCTCTCTCCCCCTTCCTCTCTCTCTAAAAAAAAATCAGTGAAGACAAAAACATTTTTTTAAAAAAGGTATTAGGTAGCACAAATTGGCAGTTACAAAATAGTTATAGGGATGTAATATACAGCATAGGGAATATAGTCATCAATATTGTAATAACTATGTATGGTGTTGGGGGGTACTAGACTTATCAGGGGATTACTTTGTAAGTTATATAAATTAGTCTAACCACTATGCTGTATACCTGAAATTAATATAATATTGAATGTCAACTGTAACTGAAAAGTAAAAAATAAACAAAATTGCAAAACCACTTCCCTTCTCTGCTTTTTTTCTTAAAGCTCATTGACATATATGCCACTAATTTTAAATACATACAGTTCTTCTACTTTCTTTAGAACATAAACTCACTAGGGCTATATCTCCAGTGCTTAAAACAGTACTTGGCAAACAGTAATTATTTAACACATATTTGTAGAATGAATCAAGCAATTAATCAATAAATGATATCTGGACTTTAGACCATGGGTCAGGAAATTACAGCCCATGGACCTCCTGCCTATTTGAAAAAATAACTTTATTAAAATATGCATTTGTTTATATGTTGTCTATGGCTGCTTACCCAATGAAAGGTGCATGTGAGTAGTGTGACAGAGTTCTGTGACCTTCAAAGCCTAAAATATTTACTATATGGTTCTGTAAGAAAAGGTTTGCCAATCCCTGGCTTAGATTCAGTCAACTGCTTCATAGATTTTGCTTTCTAGATATAGTTCAGGAATCTCTAATCCAACTTACCTCAAGTTGAGCTTTTCTGTATCTCCCTAAAACTTTCCCATTCTATATTTACTATGTGTATGAAAGACTGGATACATGGATGCACCCCTCCCAAAAATAAATAAATAAATAAATAAATAAATAAATAAATAAATAAATAAATAAAAACTTACATTTCCTTGACTCTCTTATAGCTAGATGGGACCATGAGATTAAATTCTGACAAATAATAAAGTGATGAGAGGAATATGTATGACTTTCAGGTCAACACCTTAAAAGAAAGGGCTGTGTCCTCTACTTCCCTTTATTTCATCCTTCTCAGTTGACATAATATAGAGGATATTTGGTTGTGTGCATGAAGCAGTACCTTAGGGCTGGCAGAGCAATAAGAAGGAAGGAACCTGGGTTTGTGCCCCTGTCAAGTCACCATACCAGCCCTGGACCACCTTGCTGGACTATTCCACAACAAAGTGATAAATGTCTCTTGTGTTGGAGCCACAGTGTCTATATTTAGAGTCCTCGAAGCCTAAACTATACCCAACCTAATACATCTAGTAAGTGGTAGACCTTAGGTTTAAACTGTAGATACTACCTGGATTCTATCATCAGTCTCACTCCTTTAAAGAAAAAGTTTTGATTGAATTATGCTCTGTTCGGATGGCATTGCTGCCGCAAAGTCTAGAATCAAATGTAGGAACATCTGATGCAAGTGCACAAGACTTGTCAATAAATCATTTTTGTCTCGCCTCATTTCCTGGGCTCATTTTCTGTCTCTATCCTCATTTATACTTTTTCACTTGTCTTAATTAGAATGTATATAACCTCACATTTTACATATCATATAAAATATACCACCTTAAGTTATTTCAGAATGATATGGGTTTAATTAAGTACAGGTATTGCTTTCTTTATGGTATTGTTGTACATACAACATTTTTATAGCTATCGTTTTCCTTTGTTTACAGGTCTTTCACCATATTACACTGCTTACTCTTTATAGTTATAGACAGTGATATTTTTATCCTTCTATACTGTCTAGCATGGTGCCTGATAATAAAATAGTTACATAATCAAGCAATATGTGCTGAATAAATGAATTTCACAGGGGCAGAAATGCTATTAAATGTCATTGTGCCATAATGGAATGTCCTTCCATTATCAACTTGACCCAGGAAGGGAGACACAACTCTAAAAGGTGGCTATGGAAAAGTGTTACATGTTTGGAGGAGTAATGGTGAGAACAGGAAATACATACCTTGACAAAGTGCTCAATTAGGATTTCTACCACAATGTTCTGGAATTTGATGTTCATCATGGCAGCCACAGTATCTTCCTGAGCTCTCATCAGCGTGGGACCAAAGATCACCCCCATGTTGGAGGGGGTCATAAAATTCTCTTTGCTGTGCTCACACACACTGCCAAAAGAGAAAGAAAATTATTAACAAGATTTTCTCCAAGACCCCCATATAACCAAGAGTGTTAGCTGATACAGAGGGTAAGTGAAAATAAAACGTAGAAGAAAAGGAGAGGCCTAAATTGGGAAGATAACATTACAAAGGAAACAACTAGCAAAGAATACAAGACAGTATTTAATTAGGGGCCAAAGAGAGACCTAGCTAACTTAGTAGCACTGTAGAAGCTAAGAGAAGTGGGTGGGGGCTATAGTTAGAAAATATTTGGAAAGAAAGGAGGAAAGCAATATGGATCACAGGCAAGAGGTACGGTATATATAAAGCAGAAAAAAAAAATACATAGAGAAAGTGTCTAGCAATCTCACCAATTAGGAATCCAGTCCCTTACCCACCCCAAGTTAGAGAAGCAGAAAACTCGAAGAACTGGAAGAGATCCTGAAGATTAGCCCTTTATCACTATCTTAATTTTACAGAGGAAAAGAAAAAAAAAAAAAGGTCCAAAGAAAAAACAAATATTTGCCTGAAGTTACAAACCGCCTAATTACAGTAGGGCCTTTCATAGCAAATTTTCTGATCCCTAGTCACCTCCTTGGTTAAATTCCCTTTACTGGTGTCCTGCTTTTCATAGTACAGGACAAACTCATGTGACGGTAGCCATTAAGGCCTTTAGTAACTTGACAACTATTTCTAATCTCAATGCACAGTTTGGGCTCTGAAGCTGATGGGGTGACTTATTAGCTGTGCATAGTGACTGTTAGTGACCTAAACGCTCTGGGATTTAGCTTTTCCACTAGCAAAAATAGTATCCACCTCAGAGGGTTATTGAATGGTATTAAATGGCTTTACATGATATCCTGGAAACAATCCATTAGAAGTATCTGCTCTTATTATTACGATCGCAGGAGTCTCCATCTAGGCACTGCTGACCACGGACACTTGACATGCGACACCTCTTAGGTCAGAGTTTCTGGCTAAACCATGTTGTTTCAGACTTCCATTTCTCTGCTCATGCATTCCCTCTGCTTAGAATGTTGCCCTCTTCTTAGACCTAAAGAATGTATATTTATCCTGAGATTCACTTTACCTGATATCTCCTGCAGGGCCATCCTAGCCCACTGTCCTCACCTTGATCGACAGACACCACTGGCAAGCAGAGAATATTGTAATTTTCTGCTTATTACCTGCCTCTCCTACTAGGTGATCAACAACTTCCAAATGTGTGCACCTTGCACAGAGCATGTACCAAATAATTATTTTTAATGGAACTCAGTGCCTCTATTGAACTTTCAAAAAGTACTAGAGGCACCCAAGTAAAAGATGTGCTGCCCTTTGGTCAAAATAGCTGTGGGGGTAGGGATGTGGGGAGACAAGAGAGCCCATGACAGACCCTAATTTTAAAAATCCATCCAGATCAAGAGAGATCTAATATGGTGTGGAGTAGGTAGAAGTTGCACCAACCACCTCCCATGACTACATCAACATTACAACTAAATTACAGAACAATCAACCTGGATAACCATCTGAGACTACCCGAACAGAAGTCATATAATTAAGTATATATAGAAGATGTCACAAAGACACTGGTAGGAGGGGTGGAGAAGAAAAATGGACTGGCCCCTCATCCACGTGGGGCAGTTGAGAATCTCAAGTATCTCAGCTGCAGAGGTCCCCCCTGAGGAGTGAGGAGTCTCAACCCTACCCCTTGCTCCCCAGCCTGGAGTCCCAGTCCTGGGAAAAGGAGCCCACATAACATCTGCCTGTGAAAATCAGCAGGGATTACATCTGCCCAGGTGAGACAAAAGGCTCCTAGAAACCTTGGGCATCCACTGACAGGGAGAGTGTAGAAAATCACACTCACCATGGGTCTGGTGAAGGGATAATGCCTGGGAGGGTGCTAGCATCATATAGGGTGAAACTGAGTTGTGTGGCTTCAAGAAGAGGGCTGGAGTGACAGCTGCCAAAGTCCATGTGTTGAGTCTCCTACATCGCCCATGGATGACATCTTTTCTGGGCTGACCACTGCTCCACAGGGCATGAGCTGGGGGAGCTACACTAGCCCCACCCTGATGACTCCCAGAGGCTCCACCCTTTCCAAGTCACACGTGGCTGTGGGCTCTGTCAATGGCAGCCACCCTGGGCTTGTGCTGTGGTCTTTCTTAAAAACCTCTCGTGGAATTATGGGCCAGCTCAGGGAATGCCAGAGACAGACAGGAAGAGGCTGAGTTATGTGGCTTTAGGGCAAGGACCATCTTCCTGTGCAGAGCCATATCTTAATATGCTGTAGCCTGCTGAACTCTATGGGCTCCACCCTGATGACTCCCTTAGACCCCGCCCCACCACAGAGGTCCACAGGACCCAAGTGGGTGGTGGCTGGCTTCAGTATACCATGAGAATTGGCTGAGTAACCTCAAACCCAGCACTGATAAAGACCGAATCTGTATTATTAAACTGCTGAACACCAATTGCTTTATGTGGTGACTCACTAAGAACCTACTTCAGCCCTGGCCAGTTTGGCTCAGCGGTTGGAGCGTCGGCCTGCAGTACAGAGAGACCCGGGTTCGGTTCCCGCTAAGGGCACGTACCTCGGTTGCAGTTTGTCCCCGGCCCTGGTTGGTCGTGCGGGTGGCAGTCACTCGATGTGTCCCTTCACATCGATGTTTCTCTCTCTCTTCCTCTCTCTCCCTCCTGCTCTATCTGATCAAAAAATGGAAAAATGTCCTCGGGTGAGGATAAAAAAAAAAAAAAAAAGAACCTACTTCATACAAATTATGTATCACATGAGGCTATATATCAAGGGCTGAGTCTAGTAGGCAGCTAGCAGGTGGATGAAAGACTTGGGGTGCTGTGGGATGTTTTCTGACATGACCCAGGCCTGGTACTGCTGGCTTCCAGCCCTTGGTACATAGCTAGGCCCTCCTACATACATCCAGGACCAGTGCAAGCTGCTAACAACAGTGGTTCCTAAGAGGTAGCCTAGGGGCATTCACAGGCAGGACCTGACATTGACCTGCACTGGACTCCCTCCCAAGAATCTCCAGAATCAACACATCCAGTGGCTGGTTTCAGACCACAACAGAGCATGACCTGATTAGCCTTACACGCAGCATACTCAAAGGGAGGTCTAAGGAGGCACCGGATCAGGCTGTGGGAAATTCTGCTTCCTGGGGTGAGGGCCCACACAGCAGCTTGCGCACTGGGCTCAGGTTCAGTTCTCATAGTCAGCCAGCCTGAGAGTCAACTCCAAAAGACAAGCCAACAGTAATCAAGACTCAACTACAACAGGAGGGCTCACATACCCACACAAGAAACCAGCTCAGGTGATCAGATGGACTGCGCAACTGGGCCCACAGTTTATCTACCACATGAGGCCACCACACCAAGACTGAGAGGCACAACAAATCTATCTAATACATAGAAACAAATACAGAGAGGCAGCCAAAATGGGGAAACAAAAAAACATGCCCCAACCAAAAGAATAGGAGAAATCTCCAGAAAAAAAAAATGAATAAAATGGAGGCAAGCAATTTACAAGATACAGAATTAAAAACAATGTTTATAAGGATACCCAAAAAAATTTAGTGAGAACTTCAACAGAATACACAAGGACATAGAAATGAAGAATACACTATAAGGAATCAATAGATTAGATGAAGCAGAAGATCAAATCAGTGATTTGGCAGACAATGTAGCAGAACATCCAATCAAAGCAGCAAAATGAACAAACAATTTCTTTAAATGAAGATAGTCTAAAGTATTGATTGACATAAAGGGAGACAGTGACAGTAATACAATCATTGTAAAGAATTTTAACACCCCAATGACATCAATAGATAGACTTCCACATAGAAATTCAACAAGAAAACATCAGCCTTAAATGACACATTAGACCAGATGTATTAACTAACATTTTCAGAGCATTTCACCAAAAAGCAGCAGAATATACATTGTTTTCAACTGCACAATGAACGTTTTCCAGGATAGACCACTGTTTGGCCACAAAACAACTCTCAATAAATTTAAGAAGACTAAAATATCAAGCACCTTCTCTGACCATAATATTATGAAACTAGAAATCAATTGCAAGAAAAAAACTGAAAAACACACAAACACATGAAGGCTAAATAACATGTTACTAAGCAATGAATGAGTTAACAATGAGATCAAGGCAGAAATCAAAAGGTATCTTGAAACAAATGAAAATGTAAACACAACAACCCAACGTCTATGGGACACAGCAAAAGCAGTTCTAATCCACTAAGGATTAATATCCAAAATGTATAAAGAACTCATACAACTCAACACTAAAAAACTCCACAAACAATCCAATTTAAAAATTGGCAGAGAACATGCATAGATATTTCTCAAAAGAGGACACACAGATGACCAATAGATATATTTTTAAAATGTTCAATTTCAGTCTGACCAGTGTGGCTCAGTGTATTGTGCGTCATCCCATGGACTGAGGCCCTGGTTCAAGTCCCAGTCAGGGCACATGCCGGGGTTGCAGGCTCGACCCCCAGTAGGGGGCGTGTAGGAGGCAGCTGATGAATGTTTCTCTCTCCCATCAATGTTTCTATCTCTCCCTTCCTCTCTCTCTCTCTAAAAAATCAATAAAAAACATATTTTTGAAAAGAAAATGGGCTGGAAATGGGAACAGATTATAAAGGCATCAATACACATTCATACAGGTTGCAGAAGCGGTGGTTGGCAGGAAGGATAATTATGTGACTTTTAAAAGCATGTGGATTTTCTTCTGTGTAAATTTCCCTATTGGAATTAAGCCTATTTTTTATTTGCATTTTCCCTACAACTTTTTATTTTAAAGGTTTTCAAAGATACAAAACATTTGAAAGAATGGTATTATGAACAATCATACTGTCTATACCTGGATTCAAGAAAGAACATTTTACCACTAATTAACATTTTGCTCTCTCTCTCTCCATATTTTTCTGAACTCTTTTAAAGTAAATTGCTTCAACCTTAAATACCTCAGCATTCAGCTG